AAATTGAGATTAACTTTAAATGTGTAATACTTACTTATTATAAAGTTAATGGATTAGTAATTAAAGAACAAATAATTAAAGTATTTTTGATGAATGCAAGCATCTGAAATTGAGAGTATGTAATTATCGTCTTAGACTGGCCTTAGCATCTAATTGAATTGTTTTGGGTGCATACAGTCAGAAAAGTCTTGTTCCTCACAGGCTATTGTAAGTAGTTATAGTTTTTTAAACAACTTACCTTACAATCTCATGTTCTTCATTTAAACAGAAATAGCAAAAGCATTCTACGTCTTCACAGAATAGATTAATCTAGAGTCTAACAAGTTCATTCCTCCACTCATTAATTCATCGAATGGATGGGGACTTTTACCCAGCTTCCACTGTGTGCCAACATTCTTCCAAGCACTGGGGGCACGGCAGTGAGCAAATAAAGACATTTTCCTTCAGGAGACTAAGTTCCAGGGACATGACAGACAAACACAAGTTACCATGCAAATCTGTACCAAGTCAAGTAGCAACAAGTACAATGAGGGGAGTGCTTGGGGCTGGAGAGGTTCCTCATGGACTGGTTAATGCTTTCTGTTGTGTTGAAAAACAGTATGATTCCATTTGATTGTACCATATTCTGTTATGGTTTTTTAATAGTTTAAAATAATTTTAAAAGTGAAGTTTGAATCAAATACTCAATGCAGAGAGGAAAACCAAAGCCCAGGAAAAGCATTTGCCCAGGATCACACAGTGAGTTCTGAGGCAGAGTGGGATCAGGCCCCACGTCTCTTAGAAGGAGAAGGCAAGCTCTCAGTGTGCTGTCTGCACTACTGCCTGAGAAGTGGTGAAGGATGCCAGCAGGGACAGTAAACATACAGATTACTAAGACTCCAGGTTAGCAGTCGTCAGGAAGGTCAGCAATAGCTCTCTTAGCCCAAAATGAAGGGGTCATTTCACCAACTATTTCGAATTCTCCTTTCTAATTCTAAATACTCATAATATGGTTTTCTGTTGTACAGGTGCTTGTTGCCCATTGTGTGCTGGGATGTTAAGAGTTTTATTTGACAAAGAGAAACTGGACACTATTGCTAAGGTAACTTGCTTTATGTGTCAGGTACTGTTGAAACCTCATCACTAAACCTCTCAGAAAGCCTCAAAGTAGAATGTATTATCCCCATTTATAGATGAAGAAACTAATCTTCAGAAAAGAAACTTGCCCAAGGCCATGCAGCTTGTAATCAGTAGGACGAGGGTTTG